TTGTGGAGATCCCATCGATAGTCCACATATTTTCTCATAGATACTGTCGTTAAATGTCAGAGAGGTGGTCCGTATTGGTTGGTGGTGTTAACGACTCCTGTATCCGTTATGCCTCCAGGATATCCTTTTCTCGTTCCAATATCTCCAGCAGGGCGCTTACCGCCTTCTCGACTGAGGTATTTGTGTACATGGATTGTACGTCGTAACCTAACAACAGTTCCGTCCTTACCAGCCTAATGCTTTGGATCCTTTGAGGAAATTCATATTAATTCCCTAAGATATTCGGGTTTTATTTACTTTCTTGAGCTTCAAGCAAATGATTTTCCTAGTTTGTCTGTTGCTCCATGCTTGTTTTCGGCGGATTTCATTCCTTGTGTATCTTCGCTAGTCCGTAGGCTGTTGGTGGTCTTGCATCATTTTTTATTAAAGATTTTATTTTTCATCCGTCAATTTATTTCGTTATTATGCATTTCCTTTAACATATCCTTCCGTGTCCTGTTGATCTTCATTGTTTGATCCTTCCCTAGTATTTGATAGGTGTTCCGGTCGCCTAGGATACCTCTCATTTTTTCGTGTGCTATATGGGAATACCCAAGGAAGGAAGGCGCGATAGCACAAGTGTTTGGCAGACAATTGCTCAAAGGACCAACTTAATTTGTCTCTTTGATAACTTGTAGTTCGGGAGTATGACTTGCAAGGCGCACTGAGGATGCTGACTACGATGCCGGTGTAACGAAACAAGGGCATGCAACTACTCATTTGCTCTATTTTTCATAGCCTTATTTCTTTTTTTCCTATTCCCTGTCATTAAATCTATTCATTATTTTTATCTATTTTCTATTTTAGGCAGTTGATTTTATGGATGATGGTACGCCAATCGCATTGACCGTTACTGTGGACCAGACGACGGGCTCTGCTCATTTCGACTTCACTGGGACCGGCCTCCAGACCTTTGGCAATACAAACGCCCCACGAGCTGTCCTTTTCTCATGTCTGGTCTACTCTCTTCGCTCTCTTGTGAAAGAAGAAATTCCGCTTAATCAAGGCTGTCTTAAGCCAATCCGGGTAGGAAAAAGACTCAAATTCGTTATTACTACTCTATTTTCAAATAAATTAATTCTATTATTTGCCTTTTTATATTTTCTTCCACTTCCTCTATATATGAAAACTAATTATCACTCTGATTGCAGCGAAATTTCCCATTCTTATCCTATTTATAACTCTGTACTGAAATCTTATCCAGAATAAATAAGCTTTTTCCGTCTTTATTCTCCATCACTGTCTCCTTCAAAATCTTAATCATATCCATATTCCGAAATTTCACATTGTTTTTCATCTGTTAGGTATTGCTCTATCGTTTTGAGCCAAATTTTATATAACTAAATAAACTTCTATAGTCTAATAGCGGCTCCAAATCAAAGTTACTTGGGGAAACTTAAGTTACCAAGATCGTGTGGCCTTTTGTGTCTCCTTTCGTTGTATAGAAGTTGTTTTACCTTGGCTTCGCATCTTGGTCATATTAGTAGTAAGACCTTGCCTGGAGTCCATTGTATGTATAATCATTTCCGAAATTGGACCGTGGACGTGGTACATTCCCAGACGTTTTGCCGCCATCGTAGTCGCCATCGTTAATGAGTTTTGCCATTCGTAGCACCATATTACAACTCGTCAAGGAGACAAGTGAAGCCGATTCTTTGACCAAACGTGTGCTAAACAGTTATGGCATCTCCCTTTCTGCCCTGGCCTATTCACATTTCCTATATCCTGCTATCACGCCTTCACTGTCACAATTAATTAATTAATTAGATGTGGTACGGTGTTCCATTTTGAGCGGCTTTCATAAGAACCCTCAGCACTCCACGCTGGCCTTCTCACCTTCCTTCATCCTCGTGCTGGGAATGTTGATCGGAGTCTGCCATATTTTTACGCAGACCTTCCATAGGTCTTACCACAGTATCTCTGTTGCCCCGTAAGATCCGTCTACCCTCTCTCTGGTTCACATATTTCACTCGACCCCTGCTACCCCATCTGCGCCACTCGAGGCGTTATTCGCCCTCCCCTACGTCTTGGTGACTAATTCGAGGCTAAAACCTCTGAGTAAGTCTCATGGTCAGGCCTTTGCCAGATGGACCACGTCTCTTATAAAACCTACTGTCAGCCCACTCTCCCATCGCCGCAGCGTCTATCATGTTTCTATCTCAAATACCAAGTCTATGACTTCGCTTGCCCTAATCACTTGTGTGCCAACTCACAAATGTTGTGGTACTGCTTGCTTTGGTTGGGTTCAATGTTGAATCTCAACGTTTGTGGGTTGGCACACAAGATACTAGAACATAGGAAGGGGTAGTCATGGCAATATAGATGGTAACAGGAAAGGCGAGGTGGAGACTAAAGCTGTTTGGCTAAAAATAGACGTGTTTGATCCTAAATGTGATTCTTGAATCACGACAATTGTCAGCCCACTAGCTCTAGCTTCCACTGTTTCTATCCTCTTTCTATCTAAAATACAAAACCTTTTACTTCCTATGCCCTAGTTTCTTGTTTGCCAACCCACGAATGTTCTGGTTCAACATTGAACCTAACCAAAGCAAGCAGTACCACAACATTTGTGGGTTGACACACAAGAGACTAGGTTATAGCAAGTCATAGACTTGGTATTAGGGATAGAAACAGGATAGAGACGGCGGGTACCGAAGCTAGTTTGTTGACGGTAGGTCTGTTGTTTCAGAGACGTGGTACATGTAGCAAAGGGGTGACCATGACACTCAGAGGCTTGCGCCTCGAATTAGTCACCCAGACGCAGGGGAGGGCGAATAACGCCTCGAGTAGGACAGATGTGGTGGTAGGAGTCGAGTGAAATAGGTGAACAAGGGGAGAGCAGGCGGATTTTATGGAGCAAGAGAGAGACTGGGATAAGACTAGGAAAGAGCAGTCTCTGATCAACATTCCCTGCACAAGGATGAAGGAGAGAGGGGCTGAGAACGTCAGTTGGAGCGTGAAGGTTTCATGTCGCTTAAATGAGCACACTGCACTTTATTCAAATAAACACGGTAAAATTGTAATAGTGGAGGCATGATAGGATGCTACCGGAAACGCGAATAACCCAGAGCAGAAGGGGAGATACCACAATTGTTTAGTATACGCTTGATCAAAAGATCGGCTTTACTTGTCTTTTTGACGAGTTTTTGTATGTTGCTAAGACTGGCGAAACTCACTGATGATGCTGGCAAAACGTTTGGCAATGTACCACTACCACGGTTTAACTTTCGAAATGAACATGCAGACAATGGACTCCGGACTAGGTGCCTTCCTTTGAGTTTCTTTAGTTCGAAACTAAGTCGAGTCGATGTAACTAAGAAAGAAAGACCTCTAGTGTTACCTTGGTCTTTGTAGGATATAATTTAGTTCCAAAGGACTTAGCAAGCAAGGAAATTCATATTTCTATCCTAATAATAAAAAATATTCTTAAGCTTATGAGATGTGTAACAATGAATATACTTAGAAACCTAGTCTATCGATAGGTTCGCTTACATTTACCACATTGATTAGGTTATCTTAATATCTTTATACTACCTTTTAGTAGTGTACCACATTTAATTGAGATATTTGATTTAGAAATTAACTCTTTTTGAAAGAACTTGAATCTCTCTATGTTGCTTAAGCCATAGTAATTACTGCTAATTGGATTTCTCATAATAAAATGGGCTGCCTTCACGGCGCCATTCTCTTTAATTTGCCTTCTAAAAGGATATATTTTTAAGGTCTTTTCACGACATTGAAGCATATTAATTCATGAGCTATTAATGTCATGGATTAGGATGGCAGCTATATGCTTTCTTGATCTACAATTCCACTATGGATGTGAATCTGGAGGAGTCTGGCTTGCCTTGAAAGTGATTTTTCCTGTGACTAATTGGCGCCCATGGCTATGTGGCTTAGTGGTAACTTGTTGCCTCTTGATGCTCAAGACCCAATTTTTAGTCCATTTATGGTTTGATAAGACTTCATTAGTGTCGTAACTGCACTTTGCATTGGATGTTAGAACTTTTCAGCAGCAAGCCTAAGTAAAATTCATTGGAATTCTTAAGTTTTCGTGCCATTTAGGAAATCTAACTATCACTTCTTACATATCTTTAAGTGGCCGAGAATGACTAAAATTCGTATTCAAAATCAATTGATGGCTTCGAAACCTGTGCATTTGGTTTACACTTATTTAACTTTTTCATGGCTATGTTCTAACGTTATTAATAATATATACTTCGCAAACCACACGGATTTTCGACAACGTGACGGAATGTGATATGGGAAAATGTCTGGACTTCCTTAAAATTCGCATCTGCCCGGTGGTTCAAAGGCACTTTTGGCAGTGGCTTAATGGCTCAGTTATCAGGATTATATGCTGTACTATCACGTTTCGAGTATAACTAGGGGTTCTGATTAGACTAAGGCGAGATCGAAAGTGAAGCTTATTGCTGCCTGGATGAGAATACCTTTTGGATAAGCAAGGCTATGCGAAATTCAATGGAAATGTAAGTTGTATCATATCATTGTGGGGAACATCCACTATCATCTTAAACCAAATAGGGTGAAATTATCATATATGACTAATTCTACTTTGATCTATTTCATCTCATTAAAGCTTATACGACTATTCCTTCTCATTCTATTCTGGTTAAATAAAATCGGTTAATCAGATGTATTAATTTTCTCCAAACTTTTATTTCATAAAAATGTGATGCTTTAAAGACCCGAAGTTCCTATTGCATTTTTTTTCAATTCCGGTTTTTTAGCATATTTAAATTCCCTATTCATAATATTTGGTTAATTGGGCTCACTACTATGTTCTGTTGGACATTGCTATATACTCGGATATGACGATGATTATATACTTCGATTTGCGTACTGGCCATAGAAATAGTGATAGTCTTTATTACTTGTCTCTGAGGAAGAGGTCCATTCAAACCAAAACGATACCGATTTTAAAGCGATAAGATTAGGGGCTAATCTTTGGTTAAGCTTCGACTATCAAATCTACAAAGAGTGTTATCTACTGATTAAGTATCAAGAGATTAGGTTAGTCAATCACACTTAGGGGCATGATAGGAATGAAGACAAGGTAGATACACGTGTTCACCACAGCTTATCCGATCGCATAAATATTATCGCAAATTATATACCACTAGCCAATATAATAGCTTATATAGGTATCTACTAACTGAAAAAATCAATGGAAAATCATACATATTTCATGCTCTAAGTGATCCTAATGACAGCTGTTACTGTAGAAGAAGTCAGATGACTATCTCGGATAGTCTGTTCAGAAAAATTCAAAAAGGTTTGATTTACTTTTCATGAATATAACACATTTCTCTTGACCACGCGTTTACTATAATCATCTTGGACTTAATCTCTGCAGATTTTCTGCTACTTTCTTGAAAGTATTTTTGAATCTGACTGTCATCTACCATCGAGTTTGATCTAGGTTTACTTTTGACATAAATTGAATAATAAGATGACAGATTTCGATGCTTGTTAAATTAACCTAGTGGACTTCTACAAACTCATTTAGTTAATCATAATTTGCTAACTTACTGTCTTGATCTTTCAGGGATTATCGGATATTATCACAAGTTTGATTTCTTCAGCAGGACTTGTCATATTGACTTTGCCAGATACTTCTACCCTACGGCTAAAACGTTTTTAGATCTCAGGGTCAACTTTGAACTAATGAAATTAAAGCGTTTACCACCTAAAAGAATAACATACTAGCTGGACACAATATTTGATATGTGAAAGATCCTAAACATTTTTGGAAACCTAGTCAACACACGATTTCCTAGACGGATTTGTTGCTTTGCCAATGATAATTATTCTTATTTTTATTATCATAATTATAAACTTTGTAATATTTTGTTCCTATACATTAGTTGATTGTTTCACTTTCCTTTTATTTATTCTTTTTTTCATGGAACTTCATGTTGCCATGTTCGCTTTTCCTGTGATAAATCTATCTAGCTAACTGTTCCAAATGGCACTATTCTATCTCCCGGCCCTGATGCAGCTGTTGTCGGTGGAAATGTGCTTACATCACAACGCATCGTTGATGTAATCCTAGCTGCCTTTGGGGCCTGCTCCGCAAGCCAAGGTTGCATGAACAATGTAACTTTCGGCAACGATGCTCTGGGGTACTATGAGACGGTTGCCGGTGGTGCAGGAGCTGTAAGCTTAGTACTAGTTATTTCAACTGTGAATTGTCAAATTCGTAACAAAATAAAGATTTAATTTATGATTGTTTCTTTCAATAATTTTTTCAAGGGACATTTTAAAATGAATGTCTACACACAGGCGCTTATATGGAGTTAATAAAAGTAATTTACATTACTTATACCCATGGAGGAAAGTAACAAGGTACACTTAATTGATTATATAGATGGTCGAGGGGTGCCTCATCTCCATCACTCGTCCTCACGCGCTTAGAAAGTGTTAAAAACCAAATACATCGTTCCTCATAGGCATTTATTCTGAAAATTAGGATTATTTTACCTTTTTGTTTTTAAGCCGATAACTTTTACTATGAAGTGTTTTTAGAACTCACATTCCTTTATTTTAATCAGATGTATTAAGACCAAGGTGGTATGGCGTTTTGTGTGGTCGCAGTCTCCTTTCGTTGTATAGGGGTTGTTTGACCTTGTTTTCGCAATTCGGTCATATTAGTAGGAAGACTTACAGGAACGC